TAATCCAGCTGGCAAGCTGACGAACATCAAACAACTACGTTTATTTCACACTTCCAGCAGAGACAACGGGGAAATCCCCTCTCTTTGCCCGCTCACAGACCCCCAAAGGACGGCCTAGAGACCTCCAAGAGGTGTCCCTGAAATGGGGACTCTGTTTATTTCACACTTCCAGCAGAGACAACGGGGAAATCCCCTCTTTGCCCGCTCACAGACCCCCAAAGGACGGCCTAGAGACCTCCAAGAGGTGTCCCTGAAATGGGGACTCTGTTTATTTCACACTTCCAGCAGAGACAACGGGGAAATCCCCTCTCTTTGCCCGCTCACAGACCCCCAAAGGACGGTACATTACAGTTGGCTTTCCTCCGACGCTGATAGCATGTATAGCTAACGAGGCTAGCTATACATGCTAGCGGGAAACATTGTATGACCGAACATAGCAGACTACCCGTATAAGATTGCAATTATAAACACGTTATTGCTAGCCTAATATGAACCACTAGCTTTTGTTCATAGTAGTTTTATTACACTCCATTATAGTTGCCGTTCCTCCGCGCTAACGTTAATATCGTGTTAGCTACCAAGGTAAACAAAGCTAGGTTAGCATATTAGCTGGCAAGCTGTTCATTAGATTGATTAGATAGATCCACACTCCTACCACAACTACTACTAACGAATCTAAAACAACTAAGTTTCTCTAATATTTTGTGATTTGCATTTGATTTCGTCCAGCCAGATCCTGCCGGACAATACATGACTGGACTACCACACTGAGGCATCGTCCTAAAAAGCCCCGGCTGCTATAGGCAAGATGCCGACAACGGGGAGTAATTGACGATATACCGTGTATATATGTATATTTACGTTCATTTTGTACATTTCTAAAAATAAAGTTTAATGGAAATACTTAGTAGGCCTATCCTTTCTTCCCTGAATTATTTGCTCCTATAACGTATCATTCATATATAGCAAACCATGATTTGATTTCTCATCAAACAGTAGTAGTTTATAACGGGTAAAAATAACTTACTCTTTGTTATGACCGGCTCGTAGGCCACAACGGAAAGACAAGGAGACATACACGAGTTTACAAAACCACGGCACATTTATTGTGGTAAATGCAGAGATAGGTGGTCGAGGGGAGAGGATCGCTGAGCTGCTTTGGAGAGAGAGAGGGGCCGCCGTGTGACTCCGGGCAGCTGGCTAGCACCTCGGCTCCGGCCAGGTGTCCGTGATCGCGCTGATTAGCCTCTTCAGCTCCACCCCATCGTAAGACAAAGGCCCTGGGGCCGTCACACTCTTCTATAACAACAGTTGTAGGTACAGTTCGGTTAGTTAGCGTATAAAATATACGGCTGTACCGACGCCATTATAAGTCTGATGTTCCGCTGAGAGCAGCCGGAAAAAGCACTGTTAGACATGGGCGGAGCCTCTCTGGTGGTTGACTAATCAGAACAGAGTGGCCGAGCTGACCAATCGGAGCACACTAGGCTCACAGGGACGGGGGGGCAAGAGCTCCAACGAGTCGTTTAGTGGAGAGAGTGAATACTGCTGAATACACATACTTGACAGAGATGCTGTATGCGAAACCAATGTGAGTTTGGAAAATTGCACAGTATAAATCTATTTTAGTATACCTCAACAATGTAATTATGATCAGTGGAAATGGCCATGACATGGGCCCTTTAACCGTTTGTTTGTGCCTCAGGTTTTGAGGGCTGAGGTGCTTCAGTGGGCTCACAGCTCCAGACTTTCCTGCCACCCTGGGATTCAACGTACCAGAGGGATGGTCCTGCAACGGTTCTGGTGGGCTACGCTGGAGGCTGACACCCGGGAGTTTGTGAACGCCTGTCCTGTGTGCAATCGGCACAAACCCTCTCACCAAGCGCCAGCTGGCCTCCTTCATCCATTACCGGTCCCACGTCGCCCTTGGTCACATATTTCTTTGGACTTTGTGACTGGTCTACCACCGTCCCACGGACATACTGCCATCTTGACGGTGGTGGATCGGTTCAGTAAGATGGCTCATTTCGTACCCCTGCCTAAGATCCCGTCAGCTAAGGAGACGGCAGAACTTATTCTTCTCCACGTTTTCCGCCTTCACGGACTGGCGACTGATGTGGTTTCTGACCGGGGGCCCCAGTTCACCTCTGTGTTTTGGAGGGAGTTTTGTGAACTGATCGGGGCGACGGTCAGTCTCACCTCCGGTTTCCACCCACAGGCCAATGGCCAGACCGAACGGAAGAATCAGGAGATGGAGACCACTCTCCGCTGCATGGTTTCTGATCATCCAACGACCTGGTCTAAACAACTCCTGTGGGTGGAGTATGCCCACAACACCCTCATCAGTTCCGCTACTGGTCTTTCCCCTTTTCAGTGTGCATACGGTTTTCAACCCCCTTTGTTCTCTGCATTGGAGAAGGAGGTTACCTGTCCGTCTGTCCAGGCTTTCATCAGACGTTGTCGGAGGACTTGGAGGCAGGCTCGAACAACTCTGCTTCAGTCTGCTAACCGGTACGCCACATCAGCGAACCGCCGACACACCATGGCACCTGTGTACCAGGTAGGCCAGAGGGTGTGGCTTTCCACTCAGAACATTCCCCTTTGGGTGGAGTCTAAGAAATTAGCGCCCAGGTTTATTGGACCCTTCGAGATTGTCAAGGTCATTAACCCTGCAGCAGTTCGACTGAGTTTGCCCCAGAACATGAGGATCCATCCCACCTTCCACGTTTCTAGGATTAAACCTGTCCGGGAGAGTCCTATGATTCCCGCCGCTCCTCCACCACCACCCCCTAGGATGATCGATGGGGGTCCTACCTACACCCTTCGTCGTATACTTCGTTCCCGACGCAGAGGAAGAGGGGTTCAATATTTGGTGGACTGGGAGGGCTATGGTCCTGAGGAGAGGCAGTGGATTCCTGCTCGTGACATCCTCAACCCTCAACTCATCCGAGACTTCCACCTGCGTTACCCGGAGCAGCCTTCTAGGACCCACGCTCAACCAGGCGTTAAGCCGGGGGGTACTCGTCGGCTACAGACCGGGGGCTTCGTCGAGGGGGAGGGGGAGGCGTCTTCAGTCGAGGAGGGGGAGGATTTCCAGGAGAGGGAGGCCGAGAGAGCATTCTCAGATGAGTACTAACCTTTCCCATACCCCCACCTTCCACCCTGTGTCTGTAGGTTTTTTGTTGATTTTTTTTTTTTTCTCGTAGTTTTGTCTTGGACGTCAGGAGCCGTCCATTAAGGGGGGGGTTCTGTCACAGTCTGCTTTCTCACTCACCTATTTTCTGCATTAACATTCCTTAGTCACCTGGTAGCCACACCCTGTCTCTCTCTCTCACTCTGTTACACCCATCAGCTCCATTAGTATATAGGCCCACTTCACTCTCACCTCAGTGCCAGATCGTACTTTGCAGCATGCCAGTCTTTCCCGCATTACCCTCCAGATTGCTCTCCCGGTTTCGACCCTGCCTGTCCCTGACCAGCCTGCCTCGCCTGTTTCCTGACTCTGCCTGTACCCGGACTATTCTGCCTCGCCTGCTCCCTGACCCGGTCTGTACCTGCGACTCCCGTCTTGCCTTCTCCTGGAACCCTCGCCTGTCCCCGACCAGCCCTTTGCCTACTATCTGCCTTTTCGTCTCCTACCAGCTTATTGCCTTAAATAAAGCTGGTTAGCGACTATCCCTGGTTTCCCGTGTGTTGCATTTTGGTCCTCAGCTCGTTTGTGACAACTAGGACCTTAAATTGGGTTCTGAGATGGACAGGGAGCCAGTGCAGGGCAGAAAGAATCGGAGTGATGTGGCATGTTTTTTTGGAACGAGTGAGCAATCTGGCTGCAGTATTTTGGACCTGTTGCAACCAGTTTATTGATGGTTTGTTGAGGTAGGAGAACAGAGCATTACAATAATCAAGCCGGGATACCCTATTGATCTTTATCTTTTACGATTTTCAGGCTGATGTGGGGGGCGCCAGCTAAAATCTTGCCTAGGGCAGCAAATTGGTCAGAGCCATTTTACACTAAAAGTGTGTCCCTCAACATGCACGCAACCCTATGGCGGAATCATATTAAAAAAATTACGTTATCAAGCCATGTGCTACATGCCATGTGTAGACCAAAGATAAGTCCTCTTTTCTATTTGTCATATTTTTCTTATTATTTCAGTCTAGACGGAGTCTGGCCCTCTAGTCTAACCTACTCATCCCTGTTACTCTTATTATCTGAATCAGACTGATTCATTTTAAAGTTATCTTTCTTTAGTTGAATATCTAAGTTAGTCCTTGTCTTGAAAGTAACATTACATTGTGCTGCTGGCATTCATTTCTGAGCTAAAAGCTAACATTGGCCTTGATTTGCAACCCTGTTACTAGACTAAATAGTAACAGAGTTGCAATTACTGCAGTACAATGTATCATCTTTAGCTAAATAAAATGTGTATGTATCAGTTAGCATAGTCTACATGTTTAAAATGTATTACTGTATTTTCTTTTTTGTTATTGGCCCCAGGGAGCCTAAGTATGTTAAGGTTGAAACATTTAACCCTTTTTCTCAACAATTAACTCAAAATGAACACATTTAAATTATAGTTAGATTAAGAGGTACAAATACATTATTAAAATTGATTTCAAATTGTAGTCCACAATTTAGGGCCGTTGAAAATCAATACATAAAACATGTAATACAATATGTACCATTGATGCCTGAGCTGGCCAAATCAATGTGTGTTTACTACCTGTTGTTCTCAAATACATAACAGAAAATTAGGAAATAGAGCGTTCATTTTTCAAAAGTTGTGACGTCTAAATGTCCTCCAATTCTGGTATGACCCTATAGCTTTAAAGGTAAAACACTTTTGCCCACTTTGCCCAAATGAACAGAAAATATGACGCAGTTTAATGACTCTTCAATTTGGTTTTTCAAATGTGGAAACAAAAGATAAGGCACCCCCACCCCTCTGACATTTGTTTTATCAACAGTGTGAGCATTTAAACCTGCGTTCTCCATAACATCCCATCTTTCACAGCAAAACAGACGCTACACATTACTGACTTTATACCAGAGCATCAAGAGCAAAAGCCATCCCAACATTTACAGAACTACAAAGCTGAGGAAACAGCTGAATGATGAGGTGAGTAGCTGATTCTGGATTTCATCATAAAAGTAAATCATACGTTTTTAAAATATGTTTTACTGTTATTTTGTATTAGTGCTACTCAGAGTCAAACACTGGTGTCCAGACTGAAGGCCCTGCAGTGCCACTTCACCTGGGATCTTGACCTCAGCAGGTCCTTACTTTTACGTTGTAGGGACAACTTGTTAGACATTGGCACCGTGAATGGAAACAGATGGCTGGGTCACATCTACAACCTGCGGGGGTTCATTCAGTACAGGCTGGGCTTCAGTGAAGACGCCCAAAGTTTCTACAACAAGGCTACAGAGCCCTTCAATAACATGAGAAACGCAGATGAGGGCCCCTGGTTAGTGGTGAACTACGGGAACCTGGCTTGGCTGCACCACTCCCTGGGAAACCAAGCAGAGAGCGAGGCCTACCTGTCAAAGGTCAACGCCCTCAATAGAAAATACCCATCTCCATCCCAGGAGGAGCTCCACCCAGAGACCTACGCTGAAAAAGCCTATGCGCTGATGATGGTCAGTGGAGACAAAATACATGTTGTAGATTACTTCCAGAGAGCCATCGAGATGCAGCCAGGCATACGAGAGTGGAACACTAGCCATGCCTTAGCCTTAATGTATGCTTCTATGCACAGCAGCACAGGGCTGGAAGATGACATCTTGGAGAAAATGAGATTTGCTCAAGAACAGGATCCAGAGAACTTGTACTTTGCTGCTCACTACCTTGATCAACGTGCTCAGAGAGGAGAAAGAATAGAAGATGAAGCACGTGAGTTAGCCACAAAGGTTTTGAGAAGTCCTGTCAGCAGCTACAGTGGTTTAAAACCATTGCTATGGGTTTACAGAAAGTATATATCTGTTGATGAGGCCATTGATTTGGCAGAGAAGGCTCTGAAGAACCATCCAGATGAGCGTTATCTGAAGAGATGTGTTACACTCTGCTACAAATGGAAGATCATTTTTTTCGGGGAAAGTCACCCAGAGAAAAGCATGATAGACAGAGCAATCCTTCTCCTTGAGGAGGTGATTGCTCTTTACCCTGATTCCTCACTTATGAAGAAAATAGACCTTGCTCAGATATACGCACTGTCACATGATGGTCAGGCTAAAGCTGATCAGAAATATCAGGAACTGCTGGAAAGGGATTTAGAACTTGCAGACAAACAAATGCTTTACAACAAGTATGCAAATTATTTAAATTTCCAAAAACACAATATCAACATGTCAATACAATATCACATGAAGGCGGCAGCGATACCACAACAATCCTTCTTTCGTGAGGCCAGCATCAAAGTTCTGGAGAAGATTAGAGACAGACACAGGGACAGCATGTGCGGAGAAATAATAGATTTTCTGGCAAACCTGCAAGAGCCGTAGTGTTCTAAACAGCAATGGTTTGAAATCCAAGAAGAAGATATTGTATTAGTAAAAATAATCTGTACATCCTCATAAATTGATTGGCTGTAAATAAGAAAAAACATTGTTTTTCTTCTATTGGTCGGGTAGTACACAAGGCAGCAACACCCATACTCTGAAAATGTTACATACATTTTCTATATTGGTTTTAGACTTTTATCGTTAAAACTGACCTAAATGTGTTATATTTTGAACTGTCTCATTGGCAGGTTTCAACTATGTTTTACACTTTAGTAGCAGACAAACGCTATTTAGAATAACAATTAGCTGAGCACTGTTTTTAGGCTGTTTCTTAGTTGTTAAATACAAAAACTATGAAATATACAGAATGTTTGCTAATAAACTCTTTGTAAACTCAAACCTTTTAAGCTACAACCAAAACATTTGGATACTTTTAAAGAAGCAAAAATGAAATCAAAATCAAATTATTTTTTTTTTAAGTGTTTATTGATGAATTTTGGCTGTAACTTTAAATTATTTCGAAGATTTGGAATTTTGGAATTAAAACGTTTGAACCCAATTGTTAATTAATTTACTTGTTATTGAAAATTGTATTGGAGGCATATGTAAATAATATATCATTATCAAATATATGTTTTTAGATTTGCACATGTCCTTCTAGTTATATGGTGAACGGTGAAAACTGAAATCACAGCTGTACTTGTATTATGTGTTGTTTTATCTTAACTTTACTGTAAATAAAATCCCCGAAGCATCAATCATGACTTTGGTCCTTGTTTTCTTCCAACTTCCAAAAACACACGACTGATTAAATCAGGGTCTTTATTTCTAACATGTCAGAGTGTTGTGTGTGAACCACAGAATGAGGCTGAAAGGCTGCAGATGGACTGAGTAAAAGTATACTGTCTATACCTGGCTCATTCTCTCAAAACACTTTTAAACACGATTCACAAAACCACTTACCCAAAGTGCAAAACCCCTCATATGTCTTGCAAAAAATAGCACTGCACTCATAAACACTTATCAAAACCACACTTCATTTATAGTAGAATACACTTTGTCGAACCAACTAAACACCATTGTGTAACTCACAGTGGAATAATCCAGTAAATGAAATGTAGTATGGAATGGAAAAAATAACCATGAGAATAAGAAGCCACGTTCATATCTTTGTTGAAATATGGGAAGAATGAACGTATAAATGGTATATCCATTAACTGTTAGCGATATCTAAGTTATTGGTAATCCCTTTTTTTCTTTTTGTAATTGTTGGATTGTTATGTAGTTATCAAATGTATTTAAGTGCTGATTTTGTTATGTATGCCCTGTAACCAAATCATTTCTTAAAATGCAAAAGTGCTACAGGATGTACCCTTGTACTCCAGATGACACGCTGTCTGTCCTGTTGGCACATGAGTAATCTAGATCATTAAAGTCATCTTAGTTCATGCATAACAGAGGAACTGATAAACATGATATTGCAGTTTATTTCAATTGCTAAAACACATTTTTTGAAAGCAGGGCTTATTTTCTCAAAACACTAAACACAACTCACATCCATACACGCAAAGCACGAAACACCTCATATATGTTGCAAAATGAAGCACTGCACCCAAAACTACATAAACACTTACCAAAACCAAACTGTTGCACCAAATGGCACACACTTCATGTATAGCACAAGACACTTTGTCCTACCAACTACACACTGTGGTGCTCCATCTAAAGCACACTCAGCTTTTATGGCGTTCTGTATGTAGAGAATTCAGCGTATAAAGATTGATCAAGTCGACAAAAATATGTGCAGAAACACAAATATACTGTTGTTATACTTTAATTTTCTCCAAAACAAATTTGTGCAACAATCATGCACAACCCATAGTTACAGTTGTGTAAAAAAGGATGCCTCAAATACAGTCATTGGAAAGGGACCCTTTGAGGAAAAATAAATACAAATCATATATTCTATTAAAACAGACGAAAGAAATATACTCAGGCTTCATTTGACCACCTAGCTGGGTCTGACCACAGCTCCTCATCAACATGAAGAAGAAGCATTCTTCATAGGCCTGACGGTCATATCTTCAACCGTTATGCTGCAAATAACTCTTCAACTGACTTCAGTTCATCCTCCCTCTCTCTTATCCTCCCTCTACCTCTTCCTCTTGCTGCTGTCCATATATCCACGTTTGTTCCAAAGGTTCTCAGGTGTAGCCTTTCTCTGGTGCTCACATCCTGATTGCTGAGTCAACAATGAAGCAGTTTGTGGTTCTGGTCATTTGGCATGTGTATTTGTTTATTGGTTCATGTGTGTAGCATTTTTAATGGCAGTGTTTTGAAAATGGCAAACAAGTGAATAAGTCAGATTCCTGTGACTTACTTAAAGAACTGTGTGTAGTGTTTTGCAAAAAGCATCTCCTCAATGTATACAGTTTGCAGTACTGTACACCGGGCACTGATGGACGTTAAACTACAACCTTTTAAAGCTTTTTTTCAGCTTTCTTCTTTGAAGTCCACATGAGGATTAAACTCATACAGCTGTATAACAATTTGTCCAAGGCGATATATGAACAGGTTTGGTATCCAAACAGTAAGCTGGTTACAGCAGTAGATGGCAGCAGCAGAGCGTCATGGTGCAGGTGTCTCCTACATCTCTTCATTCTGACACTCTGCAGACAGCTGCTGCTCAAAGTGAAAACATCATGCAAATGTGTAAGAAATAATGCAAATGACACCTGCATATTTCCATTTGATTTAAACTAATTTACAAATCATCAAGTACTGTCACTGTTTCTATATATCCCACAGACTGTATAGACATGTTTAAATATGAAGGATTGTTCACCTGTTAACTATGTATTTCTTATTTTTATATATATTTTGTATACTTATATAATTGTCACATACTGGTGTGGATAATCGTCATGTAAACTGCATACCATTATTTGTCCAGCTGTGATGTCTTTGCTAAGCTGTTAAACTGTGTGTGCTCACATGGTTGGCCAATAATATGGGTTCTGATTGTGAGGTGCAGCCATAAAGAAAGTGGCATCTTGGGTCTGTATTTTTTACTCAGTATGGCCTTCATGTACATTTGAACTTTAAACCAAGTTGAGAGGTAATATAATCAGAACATATGATAAGTCATGTGAGATATGTGGCTTTAGTTTCCTTCTAAGGAAATGAAAGTCAAGGTGCAATAAGACCATATGATCATCACATTTTATATGGCCCTGCCTCGCCTCTTACGTTTGCTTTGTCAGCAGTGTGACCATTTAAAACTGCGTGCTCCTTAGCATCTTATCATTTACAGCTATAAGCAGAAGCTACACATCACTGCTATCACCTTTATACCAGCGAACCCAAAGCATCAAGACCAGAACCATCCTAACATTCACAGAACTACTGCGTCGAATAAACAGCTGAATGATGAGGTGAGAAGCTGCTTCTAAATTTAATTTCATTGTATGAGTAATTTAAGAATACACAAACCCAAAACCGATTCATTTAATGTCTTATTGAGTCTGAGGGCAAAATATTAGCATTATGAATCATACTAGTCAACAACAAGATTTGCATTCCTTCCCTTCTTTCTTCGTTGACCTTCTTTTCTGTAATCCTTGTTATTTTTCTTTCAATGAGGTCAAAGTTCAACGTTTAAAGTTCATATATTCTCATTCTACAACTCAGGGTTCGGGTTATGGTAAATGTAAGTTGTAGTGACGTTTTCCTACAAAAAACACAACAACAACTCTTTATCTGTGCTGTATGGAGGATGAGTTCAAGAGTCTCACAGCGAGGAAAGAAGCTCGTCTGTAGTTTGTTCTGATTATTCAGTATCGTTGCCAGATGGCAGCAGGATGAACACAATGTGGCTTCAATAGGTACTGTCTTTAAACATGTTGGGCTCCAAGCAGTCTATTACATATATCACTGAGTGGTCTGTTGTTATATCACACATTAGGTTATAGCACACATTCGGGGATATAACAATAACCCAAATATTATGTGTTTCAATATTTGTTATTTCTATTCTCCATCAGTGCTGCCCAGAGTCAAACACTGGTGTCCAAACTTGAAGCCCTGCAGTGCCACTTCACCTGGGATCTTGACATCAGTACGTCCTTACTTAATCATCGCAGGGACAACCTGGAGGACATTGGCACCAATGATGGAAACCCCTGGATGGGTCACATCTACAACCGGCGAGGGTTCATTCAGTACAAGCTGGGATCCAATGAAGAAGCCCAGAAGTTCTTCAACAAGGCTACAGAGGCCTTCAGCCGGATAAGAAGCGCAGATGAGGGCCCCTGGTTAGTGGTGAACTACGGGAACCTGGCTTGGCTGCACCACCACCTGGGAGACCAAGCAGAGAGCGAGGCCTACCTGTCTAAGATCGACACCCTGAATAAAAAATACCCATCTCCATCCCAGGAGGATCTCCACCCAGAGACCTACGCTGAAAAAGCCTATGCGCTGATGACGGTCAGTAGAGGCAAAACACTTGTTGTAGATTACTTCCAGAGAGCCATCGAGATGCAGCCAGGCATACGAGAGTGGAACACTAGCCATGCCTTAGCCTTAATGTATGCTTCTAAGCACAGCAGGACAGGGCTGGAAGATGACATCTTGGAGAAAATGAGAATTGCCCAAGAACAGGATCCAGAGAACTTGTACTTTGCCGTTCACTACCTTGATCAACGTGCTCAGAGAGGAGAAAGAATAGAAGATGAAGCACGTGAGTTAGCCACAAAGGTTTTGAGAAATCCTGTCAGCAGCTACAGTGGTTTAAAACCATTGCTAAGGGTTTACAGAAAATATATATCTGTTGATGAGGCCATCGTTTTGGCAGAGAAGGCTCTGAAGAACCATCCAGATGAGCGTTATCTGAAGAGATGTGCTGCACGCTGCTACAATTGGAAGATCTTTGGTGACAAGTACAGTCGTCCAAAGCAAGACATAATAGCCAGAGCAATCAGTCTCCATCAGGAGGTGATTGCTCTTTACCCTGATTCCTCACTTATGAAGAAAATAGAAATTGCAGATTTATACGCACTGTCACATGATGGTCTGGCTAAAGCTGATCAGATATATCAGCAACTGCGAGAAAGTCATTTGGAACCTGCAGACAAACAAATGCTTTACAACAAGTATGCAAAATATTTATATTTCCAAAAACGCAATATCAACATGTCAATACAATATCACATGAAGACAGCAGAGATACCGCACCAATCCTTCTTTCGTGAGGCCAGCATCAAAGAACTGGAGAAGAATAGAGACAGAGGCAGGAACAGCATTTGCGGAGAAATAAGGAAGTGTCTGGCAAACCTGCAAGAGACGTAGTGTTCTAAACAGCAATGGTTTGAAATCCAGGAAAAATATATTGTATTTGCAAAAATAATCTGTACATCCTCATAAATTTGATTGGCTGCAAATAAGAACAAACATGTTTTTCTTCTATTGGTCGGGTAGTACACAAGGCAGCAACACCCATACTCTGAAAATGTTACATACATTTTCTATATTGGTTTTAGACTTTCATCGTTAAAACTGACCTAAATGTGTTATATTTTGAACTGACTCATTGGCAGGTTTCAACTATGTTTTACACTTTAGTAGCAGACAAACGCTATTTAAAAATACAAATAGCTTAGCACTGTTTTTAGGCTGTCTCTTAATTGATAAATACAAAAACTATGAAATATACAGAATGTTTGCTAATAAACTCTTTGTAAACTCAAACCTTGTAAGCTACAAGCTAAATATGTGGATACTTTTAAAGAAGCAAAAATGAAATCAAAATCAAATACTCTTTATTAAAAAAGTGTTTATTGATGAATTTTGCCTGTAACTTTAAATTATTTCCAAGATTTGTGTTTTGGAATTAAAACGTTTAAACCCAATTATTAATTAATTTACTTGTTATTGAAAATTGTATTGGGGCGATATGTAAATAACATATTATTATCAAATATATGTTTTTAGATTTGCACATGTCCTTCTAGTTATATGGTGAACGGTGAAAACTGAAATCACAGCTGTACTTGTATTATGTGTTGTTTTATCTTAACTTTACTGTAAATAAAATCCCCGAAGCATCAATCATGACTTTGGTCCTTGTTTTCTTCCAACTTCCAAAAACACACGACTAATTAAATCAGGGTCTTTATTTCTAACATGTCAGAGTGTTGTGTGTGAACCACAGAATGAGGCTGAAAGGCTGCAGATGGACTGAGTAAAAGTATACTGTCTATACATGGCTCATTCTCTCAAAACACTTTTAAACACGATTCACAAAACCACTTACCCAAAGTGCAAAACCCCTCATATGTCTTGCAAAAAATAGCACTGCACTCATAAACACTTACCAAAACCAAACTTCATTTATAGTACAATACACTTTGTCGAACCAACTAAACACCATTGTGTAACTCACAGTGGAATAATGTAGTAAATGAAATGTAGTATGGAATGGAAAAAATAACCATGAGAATAAGAAGCCACGTTCATATCTTTGATGAAATATGGGAAGAATGAACGTATAAATGATATATCCATTAACTGTTAGCTATATCTAAGTTATTGGTAATCCCTTTTTTTCTTTTTGTAATTGTTGGATTGTTGTGTAGTTATTTAATGTGTTTAAGTGTTGATTTTGTTATGTATGCCCTGTAACCAAATCATTTCTTAAAATGCAAAAGTGCTACAGGATGTACCCTTGTACTCCAGATGACACGCTGCCTGTCCTGTTGGCACATGAGTAATCTAGATCATTAAAGTCATCTTAGTTCATGCATAACAGAGGAACTGATAAACATGATATTACAGTTTATTTCAATTGATAAAACACTTTTTTTGAAAGCAGGGCTTATTTTCTCAAAACACTAAACACAACTCACATCCATACACGCAAAGTGCGAAACACCTCATATATGTTGCAAAATGAAGCACTGCACCCAAAACTACATAAACACTTACCAAAACCAAACTGTTGCACCAAATGGCACACACTTCATGTATAGCACAAGACACTTTGTCCTACCAACTACACACTGTGGTGCTCCATCTCAAGCACACTCAGCTTTTATGGCGTTCTGTGTGTAGAGAATTCAGCGTATAAAGATTGATCAAGTCGACAAAAAATATGTGCAGAAACACAAATATACTGTTGTTATACTTTTAATTTTCTCCAAAACAAATTTGTGCAACAATCATGCACAACCCATAGTTACAGTTGTGTAAAAAAGGATGCCTCAAATACAGTCATTGGAAAGGGACCCTTTGAGGAAAAATAAATACAAATCATATTTTCTTTTTTCAAACAGACGAAAGATATATTCTCAGGCTTCATTTTACCACCTAGCTGGGTCTGACCACAGCTCCTCATCAACATGAAGAAGAAGCATTCTTCATAGGCCTGACGGTCATATCTTCAACCGTTATGCTGCAAAAAACTCTTCAACTGACTTCAGTTCATCCTCCCTCTCTCTTATCCTCCCTCTACCTCTTCCTCTTGCTGCTGTCCATATATCCACGTTTGTTCCAAAGGTTCTCAGGTGTAGCCTTTCTCTGGTGCTTACATCCTGATTGCTGAGTCAACAATGAAGCAGTTTGTGGTTCTGGTCATTTGGCATGTGTATTTGTTTATTGGTTCATGTGTGTAGCATTTTTAATGGCAGTGTTTTGAAAATGGCAAACAAGTGAATAAGTCAGATTCCTGTGTCTTACTTAAAGAACTGTGTGCAGTGTTTTGCAAAAAGCATCTCCTCAATGTATACAGTTTGCAGTACTGTACACCGGGCACTGATGGACGTTAAACTACAACCTTTTAAAGCTTTTTTTCAGCTTTCTTCTTTGAAGTCCACATGAGGATTAAACTCATACAGCTGTATAACAATTTGTCCAAGGCGATATATGAACAGGTTTGGTATCCAAACAGTAACCTGGTTACAGCAGTAGATGGCAGCAGCAGAGCGTCATGGTGCAGGTGTCTCCTACATCTCTTCATTCTGACACTCTGCAGACAGCTGCTGCTCAAAGTGAAAACATCATGTAAATGTGTAAGAAATAATGCAAATGACACCTGCATATTTCCATTTGATTTAAACTAATTTACAAATCATCAAGTACTGTCACTGTTTCTATATATCCCACAGACTGTATAGACATGTTTAAATATGAAGGATTGTTCACCTGTTAACTATGTATTTCTTATTTTTATATATATTTTGTATACTTATATAATTGTCACATACTGGTGTGGATAATCGTCATGTAAACTGCATACCATTATTTGTCCAGCTGTGATGTCTTTGCTAAGCTGTTAAACTGTGTGTGCTCACATGGTTGGCCAATAATATGGGTTCTGATTGTGAGGGTGCAGCCATAAAGAAAGTGGCATCTTGGGTCTGTATTTTTTACTCAGTATGGCCTTCATGTACATTTGAACTTTAAATCATCTTGAGAGGTAATATAATCAGAACATATGATAAGTCATGAGAGATATGTGGCTTTAGTTTCCTTCTAAGGAAATGAAAGTCAAGGTGCAATAAGACCATATGATCATCACGTTTGATATGGCCCTGCCTCGCCTCTTACGTTTGCTTTGTCAGCAGTGTGACCATTTAAAACTGCGTGCTCCTTAGCATCTTATCATTTACAGCTATAAGCAGAAGCTCCACATCACTGCTATCACCTTTATAGCAGCGAACACAACGCATCAAGACCAGAACCATCCTAGCATTCACAGAACTACTGCGTCGAATAAACAGCTGAATGATGAGGTGAGAAGCTGCTTCTAAATTTAATTTCATTGTATGAGTAATTTAAGAATGCACAAACCCAAAACAGATTTATTTAATGTCTTATTGAGTCTGAGGGCAAAATATTAGCATTATGAATCATACTCGTCAACAACAAGATTTTAATTCCTTCCCTTCTTTCTTCGTTGACCTTCTTTTCTGTAATTCTTGTTATTTTTCTTTCAATGAGGTCAAAGTTCAACGTTTAAAGTTCATATATTCTCATTCTACAACTCAGGGTTCGGGTTATGGTAAATGTAAGTTGTAGTGACGTTTTCCTACAAAAACACAACAACAACTCTTTATCTGTGCTGTATGGAGGATGAGTTCAAGAGTCTCACAGCGAGGAGAGAAGCTCGTCTGTAGTTTGTTCTGATTATTCAGTATCGTTGCCAGATGGCAGCAGGATGAACACAATGTGGCTTCAATAGGTACTGTCTTTAAACATGTTGGGCTCCAAGCAGTCTATTACATATATCACCGAGTGGTCTGTTGTTATATCACACATTAGGGAATAGCACACATTAGGGGATATAACAATAACCCAAATATTATGTGTTTCAATATTTGTTATTTCTATTCTCCATCAGTGCTGCCCAGAGTCAAACACTGGTGTCCAGACTGGAGGCCCTGCAGTGCCACTTCACCTGGGATCTTGACATCAGTACGTCCTTACTTAATCATCGCAGGGACAACCTGGAGGACATTGGCACCAATGATGGAAACCCCTGGATGGGTCACATCTACAACCTGCGAGGGTTCATTCAGTACAAGCTGGGATCCAATGAAGAAGCCCAGAAGTTATTCAACAAGGCTACAGAGGCCTTCAGCCGGATAAGAAGCGCAGATGAGGGCCCCTGGTTAGTGGTGAACTACGGGAACCTGGCTTGGCTGCACCACCACCTGGGAGACCAAGCAGAGAGCGAGGCCTACCTGTCTAAGATCGACACCCTGATTAAAAAATACCCATCTCCATCCCAGGAGGAGCTCCACCCAGAGACCTACGCTGAAAAAGCCTATGCGCTGATGACGGTCAGTAGAGACAAAACACTTGTTGTAGATTACTTCCAGAGAGCCATCGAGATGCAGCCAGGCATACGAGAGTGGAACACTAGCCATGCCTTAGCCTTAATGTATGCTTCTATGCACAGCAGCACAGGGCTGGAAGATGACATCTTGGAGAAAATGAGAATTGCCCAAGAACAGGATCCAGAGAACTTGTTCCTTGCTGCTCACTACCTTGATCAACGTGCTCAGAGAGGAGAAAGAATAGAAGATGAAGCACGTGAGTTAGCCACAAAGGTTTTAAGAAGTTCTGTCAGCAGCTACAGTGGTTTAAAAACATTGCTCAGGGTTTACAGAAAGTATATATCTGTTGATGAGGCCATCGTTTTGGCAGAGAAGGCTCTGAAGAACCATCCAGATGAGCGTTATCTGAAGAGATGTGCTGCTCTCCACTATGGAGTGAGGCTCATTTTCAGTGACAGTCCCCCAAAGAAAAGCATGCTAGACAGAGCAGTCAGTCTCCATCAGGAGGTGATTGCTCTTTACCCTGATTCCTCACTTATGAAGAAAATAGACCTTGCTAAGATATACGCACTGTCACATGATGGTCAGGCTAAAGCTGATCAGATATATCAGGAACTGCTAGAAAGTGATTTGGAACTTGCAGACAAACAAATGCTTTACAACAAGTATGCAATTTATTTAAATTTCCAAAAACAGGATGGCAACATGTCAATACGATATCACATGAAGGCAGCAAAGATACCACAACAATCCTTCTTTCGTAAGAACAGCATCAAAGTTCTGGAGAAGATTAGAGACAGACGCAGGGACAGAATGTGCGGAGAAATAATAGAA